CTCACAAAAACTGAGACTAAACCCGTTGAACAACAAACTGTTATTTCTTATTTCCAGATGCCTTTTCAACCCTAAAATTCTGAACTAAACTCCACTGATATAACTAGCTCTGAAGCTATTCCTGTAGTAGAGTCATCCACTGATGAACCCAATACAACAATTGAAGGAGATACTATCTATAATCATACTGATTCTGATCAAAGGAATGAATCTCTTGACACTGGTAATACTGAGGCAAGATTTCAAGGTATTGAAGAAACTCATAACTTGGATGGAAATAATTATGAAAGGCAGAAAGCCCTATGACAACAAGAGACAAAGCTGGTATATTCAAACCCAAAGCTCTCTCCAGTCAGACAGTGGATCCTCAGTGGAATAAAACTGAACCTCAGAGTATTACAGAGGCTTGGGGAGATAGGAATTGGAAAAAGGCAATGACTGAAGAGTACAATGCACTGATCGAAAATAAAATGTGGACCTTAGTACCACCATCTTCATCCTACAACATTGTAGGAAACAAATGGGTCTTTAGATTGAAACAGAATTTAGACGGATCTCTTCAAAGGTTCAAGGCGAGGCTAGTAGCAAAAGGTTTTCACCAAATTCCCGGAGTGGACTTCTATGAAACCTTCAACCCTGTCTTGAAGACCTCTACATTGAAAATCATTCACAACCTTGCAGTGATGAAGGATTGGAAAATAAGGCAAGTGGACATTAACAACGCATTTCTAAATGGGAACTTAGAGGAGACTGTTTATATGCATCAACCAGAGTGTTTTGTTGACAAAACCAAGCCAAACCACATTTGCAAACTTGAAAAAGCTCTTTATGGGCTTAAGCAAGCGCTAAGAGCCTAGTATGATAAGTTGAAAAGCACCCTGATTGATTGGAAGTTCAATCAATCAAAGGCAGACACATCTCTGTTTCATCTCTCAACTGAGCAGGACATTATCTTCGTTCTCATCTACGTTGACGACATAATAGTCACTGGTAACAAGAATAAGTTGCTTCAAAACTTCATAACAGAACTTCACAGGAAATTTGCANGAAATGAAGAATGAGAATGGGAATGTGAATGAGAATGAGAAATTAATGGGTGCCAAACGGGGGCTAAATAATTTCCAAACAATTTCTTCTATAAAAAATGTAGTAAACGTCGGGAAAAGTCCAAATTATTTTCCCGAAAAGCTTCATCAGACCGCGTTGACTGTGTTAGGGCCGGGCGCCGGAATATGAGTTGCCTGTGGATGCCAAGCTGGATTATTTGCTGTGGTGCCATTTTGCTGAGATTGATGTTAATGGGAATAAGGCTGGGCAGAGGGTGTTCGATGTGTTTGTGAATGGGGAGAACGTGAGTAGGGTGGATGTGTACAAGCAGGTAGGAGGATTTGCTTCATATGATTGGAGTTATGTAGTGAGGAATTTAAGTACTACTACTCTGAGTGTGAGGCTAGAGGCAGTTGTAGGGGTGCCAATCATTTGTGGGCTCAAGAATTATGCAATTGTGCCGGTTGATCTTAATACTTCTCCCGATCAGGGTAAGAATGCAATAAAATTATTTGATTGATCTGTAGGATTATGCTCAACTTGTTCTGGATTCTTTTGGGGAATGAATTGGGAAGTATCATGTGTAAAAGTATGGAGGTTGGAAAAAAGAGCATTTCTGAATTAGTTGTTTAAAACTTTGGAATGAATAAAAGGAATATATTTATGCAATAATCTCTGTTAATGGCATGCATAGTTAACTTTGTTACTTATTTAGTAGAAGACAGGTTAGAGATATATGTGGACGTGGAAGTGGTCTTTGGACTTCACTTCTAGTTTCAATGTAGTGGAACTATCAACTTGCATGTCATTACAGTAGATTTCGAGTTTTTTACAGGATTAGAAGGGAATTTCAAAGATAAGGAGATTGTCTTTGTTAACTGATTATATATTTAAAGGGAACATGCTAATAAATTTTGAAATTGTTAGTAGACACAAGTAGTAAAGAATCCTTTTGATAATTTGAGCCTAAATTACTTAAGTAATTGCCATGCGAGCACTGAAGGAATCACTTCGTGTTCCTGACAGAACGGGTTGGAATGGAGATCCTTGTGCCCCTACCACATGGGATGCTTGGGAGGGAGTTACATGTCATTCCATAAAGGATGAATCTGTCCTTGTGGTATCCCAAATGTAAGCATCTTTTCTCTAATGGAAACTAGAAGGTACATATGTAATAAAAAAATCTACAAGGCAATTTGTGGAAGAAATTGTGCATTCGTCTTCAATATAATATTATAATTTAAGTACTTAATTCTTGGAAATATGGACTTTAATGTGAAATCCAGCAAAGAACAAATAGTATGGATCTTATTCAAATCCACTAGTGAATCTATTTGAGAAAAAAGTAAAAAGAAAACAGAGATCTTTTCATCAAAAAGTATTTTCTGGCTACAAATGAATTATTGTTTTGCTAATATTTCTCTTTCCTGCATCTACCTTGCCGGCTGCATTGTATAGGCTTGATCTGACTAGCAGATTGAGACCTGTTACTAGTTACGAACTAAACTTGCCTTGGGTTTTTGGTTTCTTACATCTGCACATTAGCAGTTGATTTGGTTTCCTTAGCACCGCCAACTACTCCTAATGATGACTTTGACCTATCATTGTTTTCTAGTTACTTTTCAAGTCATTTGAAATCGACTTTCACCTAATACTTTGCATTGTCATCACATTGACTGAGTGTAATTACCATCTGGAAACATCCATTTGTTTAGTCTATATTTTACTATCAAAAATTTTCCATCTCCTAGACTCTTTGTGCCGTCTTTTTTGAAGCCATATTATGAAGTGATGGAAGCTTAATTGATATATTTGTTGAACTAACATTTCACATTTTGTTTTATTTTATTTTTTTCAGAGATCTTGGTATTCAAGGCTTGAAGGGTATATTAGTGACCAAATAGGTCTCTTGACGAATTTGGTAAGCCTGTAAGTATCAACAGTCAATTTCTTATGCATCCGATGTTGTGTTATTGATGCATAATTTGCTGCTCAAATAGAAATTATTTATCTCATGTTACATATTCAAACTGTAATCTTGCTAATCAGCATGCAGAGAGGAATTAAGCCACGTGAATGTGTTTTCTGTAACTAATTGGTTATGATAATCAATTGTAATAGACATTTATTGGCCAGTGGCTATAGTTGTCATTGGATCTTCAACTTCAATTAGAATCAACATTATATTCAGAAATTCTTTTTTCTCCAACATTTGACATTCATAAACTGCAATGAAAAATAATTACTTTCAATGAACCTTTAATGAGTTCAAAATAAGATTCTGGAAGGTCCAAGTTTCTCAGGCATCATTCATTAAAATTCCTGAATAGTCACATAGTGAAATATGAGCTTGAATCTTTTAGGTTTCATGTATTTAATATTTTTGTCCCTTTTGGATCAATTTATATCAACAAACATCCATTGATGTGCAGGAACTTGAGTAGTTCTAACTCTCTAGGAGGAGATCTTCCCTCAGGGTTGGGCCAAAAGTCTCTAGTGAAGCTGTAAGATTACATACTTCCAGTGTATTTATGTTTGTGTTTGATCTATTTAGTTTTATAGGATTCTAAACTTTCCCAGAAGAAATATTTTCTATTCACTTCTTTTTTCTATGAAGTCATATCTGAAAGTAGTTTGCATGATAGAATCTCCAGAATTGTTGTTTTGATTTTCAATCAAGTTGAAGATTTTGGTGTAGTAACTGTTACTCGTTTACATAGGGTGTAGGCATATAATCTCAAAGGCGAAAATATGCTTTAGTCTAGACAAACTCAAGAAAAATATTTCGATTTTTATTCATCCAACTACAGTTATTTAATTGAATTATTGCTACATATATGTTTTCTGCCTTCTTTATTTTTTCCTGCTTTGTTGATGCAGGGATTTATCAGATAATAAGTTTACTGGGGTCATACCAGATAGTTTGACTTCATCTACTTTGCAGCTTGTGTAAGTAAATGGACTAACTGCAGAAGGGTTTCTGATCTTAGAGAAATACACAGTTGGCTTATCTATCTTAAAACAGATAATTTTAGTCATAACTTAATATGAGCATTCTAAAATGTATCCTTCTAACTGTCTTTGAATTTTCTACTTCTAGTGATTTGTGAAAAGAATATGAACTTTTAAGGATAGGAACCAAAAAAAAGAACATACTCATTTCACATTCTACACAGCATTAAAATTGCTCACGAACTCTCGTTTAAGTTATTTAAATCAAATTATTTTGATTAGGTTATTGAATGATAACTTACTGGAAGGCCAAGTCCCAGAGGAACTTTATTCGATTGGGGTGCATGGTGGAGCAATTGAGTATGTCATCACTTAATCTATTCTACTTATTTCCTGTATTAGTTTTTTCCCTTTACTGGTTAATTCTAAGACCCATAATCTATGTTGCCTGCTGACTTCTCCTGTACAATGTTTTATAAATATTGGCTTGTGCGATCCAGAGTGCTTATTTACGTTGCTGTATTGTTAAAGTTACTGGCTAGCATCTAGATTCTTACGAAAATTATAAACTGATAAAACTGCTAATAGCATCTAGCATCTGATAGTAAGCAT